AGAAAACTCATCAGTCATAAATGCACTTTTCTACTCTTCCAGAACTTCAAGATGTCTGTCTATAAAAATGAGCCACTATTATACTCTGAGTGAAGTTTCTCATTCGCTTCCTGTTCAGGGATCTGTCAGCAGACCTGTCAGCAGACCTGTCAGCCTTTTCTGCAAATAGCTGGTTAAGCTGACAAGTCGAATTGTTTTTTGCCTCCCAGTCATCAGTGTGGATGATTGTTAAACCAGGGTAGCAGAGAAATTGCTTACTAGCCCCTTGTCGGGCTGACAATCTGCCTGACCTTCCTGCTCAACTCCTCTCGCCACACATTTACTCATCTTCTGCAGATCCTCTTCCCGTTCCTTTCCCAAAACATTTGCTATGAGTAGAAAAGGCTTCCATTTGTTTTATTTTAACTCATTCTAAAAGTTATTTCATCTGAATACAGGAATTTTGCAAAGTAAAACATTATGTACCAGATGGGGTTTCAAATTTCAGCTTTTACATTAAGCAAAATGAAATCTTTCTATCACAGTGTGGCTGCATTTCAACTTGCATATGTGAAAAGTGCACTTTCAGTTAGCAAAAGGAAGTACGTAGAGTAAAATAGGATCTCTTGACCAATTCTGAATTCTCAAGTCAACAAACCTGAGTGGTTAGATTGTTAGTTTTACTGGGAAGAAGGTGATTAGTACTATGGCTGCAATCTTTGTTTACTTACAGTTGGTGAGAATGACTGACAGATTATAAACAAAGTTGTTTTAAACTGCCCACTTAGCTCCAAGGTGACAGCTTTCAGACATCAAGGATGGAAGATCACTTCCTTTAACCTGGATACAAGCCCACATGATTTCAATATCAAAGAGGATGAAGATTTTGGCAATATTCCTGAAAACTGCAAGGAACTAGGTGGGGCAGGCCAGGAATGAGAGAGCAACTAGAAGTTGCAAGTCTCCAGGTTTACTTCATCGGAACAGGATTCTTACGCTCCGAATGGAAGGATCAAGTTAATGGAGTGTTAAAACGAGAGTGGAAAATTTGCATCATGAAAGACAGCTTTGGTATTGCAAGTTACCAGTCTGAGGGGGAAAAAAAATTAACAGAAGGAAATCTTCAAGGCGTCTATCCTTGGACTGATTGGAGAGAAAAAGAGGATAATGCAATGTATAATTTTGTTCTGTCAGCTTTTCGTGTTAATGGCTCCTGGTTTTTTTTTTGGGGCTTCTGGAAATCAAAGCTTTTTATTTCTTTAACTACATTTAAATGTCTTAAGTTACGTAAATACAGGAGAGACTTTATTTTTCAAAATATTAATGAGCAATAAAGTTGTAAAGATGCAATTTCCAAAAGATTGTTTTCTCCTACTCCTGACAATGTTCAACCTTTTCACAGCATCTTAAATTTTCTACATGAGGGAAATGAGTTATTAAATTTGTATGGAAGAACAGTATAATTTTCCACTTTCGAGCAATCCAGTTATAACCAGGTATGAAGACTCCTGGTGTTTTTTGTATCAACAGATTAATACCAAAGTTCAAACATTAGAAATTATATTTTACATGAGATTTACAAGATCAATTAAAGAATTTGGGTTTTACATGAGCACAAAAATTTTTCAACAATCACATTCCTCAAGTCACTTTTTTGGTAGTATTTGCAATATAGTTTAGGCACATTGGTTGTTGACATACAACATAATGAACAGCAAGGCACATTCTGGAGACGTATGTTATGTAAAATGTTCATTTTTTAAACATGCAATATTTTACACTTCTTGTACCATATAACAGTGCTTCCCTTTTTAAATAAAAATACACAACCATTGTAACAGATTTTATCAAAAGCCAATCTAATAATACTAGTGAGTTTACAACATGAATTAAAATATGAACAAAAAGATGGAAAACTGGTTCCTAACCAACAGGAAAACAAGAACATTCACATACAGCTTGAACTGAATTACGTGTTAGGTATTTTGCAGGTCACAAGATGAAATGTTTTCAAATTAGGCTCTGTTGTACATTGATGTCTAATAGGAATGCGAGAATACGTAGTTTAAAATGCTGCTCTGCACCATGATACACCATACAGATTCATAAATACAAAAACAAAATCACTTGAAACAAACTTGTAAAAGGTGGCACACCAGTGAACAAATGAACTGTGGTAAATGTGTGATTCTCTGAAAGGAGAACCTGATCCTATTCCAGTGTTCCCACTGTACTTCAGCAAAGTGATGAAGGCTACAAAACATCATCCACCCACCCTCTGTGGCAAGTGGTGTGAGCCAAGTAAAATAATTATCCAATCTGTTTCAGTACTTAGTTAGGAAAGTTTGACAGAACCCTGCCAGAAAGTATGAACTTGTTCATGTGTACCTTTTGTAAATATTCAATCTGGAGTATACAACCACTCCATTCCACATTGTGGAAAGTCCATATACAGTCAGGTTTTACATGGGTGAATGACACTGCACCAGTTATCTCTTCACACTAAATTGACTGCTACCTACAAGACGACAACTTTAAAAAACAATATAACTACAGTCTGTAAAACTTTAAATGCAATACGTTTCTGAAGTTGTCATTTAAGCATTTCAGACATTGCAGCATAAAATCCCAACTGTCCTGGAGGAACCGTACATAAAAAAATGCTCAGATCTCTGTAGTTTTTCTACCTGTAGATAATAATTACAATGTGGGCATATGGTTCACTGGAGTTGGACTCTGTATGCACAAATAAGCAGCTTTACCTGAAACAAAAGCGACATTCTATTAGAAAGCAGCATCAGGCACATACATCTCTATTTATTCCAAACACATTTTAATGGTAATATTCAGCAGATTATAAACAAAGATGAGTTAAGCAATCTCATGGGAACTACAAGGAGCCCAACTCTGATCGGGCCCTAATGAAGTACTGCATCCAGTTAATCATTATACTGGAGAAAGGATGTGAGGATCCTTGGAAGCTCTCATTCTGGAGATGGGGGAGATTTAATTACAGTTAGGTTGGAAAAACTGGAGCTGTTTTCTTTCACAGCAAAGGAGACTACGGGCAGCCTTGATTGAAAACATGTACAAGATTATGCTAGCAAAAGGAGGGAAGGAAAAACTATTCCCATTAGCTAACTATGATTTTATGGAGGAGCTGGATATAGTACTTGGGGCTAATAGCATCAAAGGATGTGGGTGAAAAGCAAGAACAAGTTGAGTTGGGATAATCAACCACTGGTGCAGCAGTTTGAAGGGCTAAGTGGCCTACATCTCCTATTTTCTATGTTTCTATACAAAGATTACAGACAATATATCTTTTGCCCAATGTTAAATATATATAAAATAATTTATCTTTTTTAAAGTAACTACAACCTAGAATTCACTACCCACAAAAAGGTGGAGGGAACAAAAAGAAGTTCAAAAGGAAACTGAACTAGGCTCTGGAGGCAAGTAAGCCTGCAGGTTTCTAAACAGATTGAGCAAGGAAATGGGATTGACTAGATAACTATGCAGAACACCATAAAATTATTCATATTCTGAAGGGTCACTAGTCTTAACGTTGACTCTGCTTTTTCACCGCAGATGATCCAAACCAGCCGAGTTCCTCCAGCAATTTGTTTTGCTTGATTTTCAGCATCTGCAGTTCAGTTTTTGTTTCAACTCAATAATTGGTACAAAACTATCCAACTGGCAAGAGATTACCACCAGCCACAAGTCATACAAATCGCTATTTTTGAACAAGAATTGAAGTATCATCACTTTTTACCAGTTAAAATTGTATTTCTAGTTCATATTGAAAGTAGTCTTATGCCAGGAATAAACCAATTCTTGCTAATTCAGATTAAAAATTGAGTGAATTGCTTGTTCTACTGCCAGACTGTAACTGTAATTGTATAGAGTTTTGAAACAAACATTTCCACTTTCCAGAGTTTCATCCAACAGGTCAATATAATCCTACCTTAGCAGTGGGTGCTTCAGCAAGTCTAATGAATAACTTATTGGCACCAGGCACTGGGCTAAAAGAATAAATAAAATGACTATCCTGGAAAACAAAAAGGAATTAAAGTGATCACATATTAGGTTTCAACAATGAAAAATGTAATAACACTATTTAAAATTTTACACACATTTTCCAATAGTGCTAAAATGCTGGTTTTATAGTGAATCAGCATATGGTATATACAGTTCCAAAATCCACATTATAGGAGAGATGTGAGTGCACCAGAAAAGGTCACGGGGAAATTTACTGGAATGTGCCCGAGTTGCAGAGTTTTAGCTATGAAGAAAGATTGGATAGGATGTGGTTTCCCTTGGAGCATTGGAGAGAGAGGGAACATGATTGATATCACTATGACATGTATAAAATTATGAGAGGTAATAGACAGGGTAGGCAGTTCCCCTTGGTGGAGGGATAAATAACCAGAGGTATAGATAGGAGGTAAGGGCAGGAGTTTGAGGGGATGCAAGGAAGAAAGTTTTCACCCAGGCGGTGGTTAGAGTCTGGAACTCTGCCTATAAAAAGGACGTAGAGACAAAAACTGTCATAAACATTTAAGTATTCAGATGTACACTTGTAATCCTAAGGCTGCAAGACAAAAGATGGAAAACGGGATTAAAATAGTTAGTTGGTTTTGACCAGTGCAGACTCAAATAGGCCGAAGGGCCTTTCTCCATGCTGCAGACCTCTGACTAAGACTCAAAAATGCTGTGTGTGTGAAATGAAACCGTTCTCTTCGCTTCACCTCCTTTCCTCTGCCCCCACCCAAAACCTTCTTCCTTGGACAGCAATCCAATCCCATCCTCCTCCACCACCTATCATCATACAGAAAACTCTCCAAGTCCTTTTTATCTCTCCTATAATGTGGATTTTGGAACTGTATATACCATCTGCTGATACACAACAAAACCAGCATTTTAAATAAAACATATGGGAATTGGCTGTGCCTGTTTCTATGGGACAAACTAGAAGATTACTTGTTCCAGTCTTACATTGTCCTCCCATCCATACATTAATGACCATCAGTTCTTACTTCCAACTGGAAAACTCAATTTTGTTTCAAATTTCTACACCTGCTTTTCTCATCCCTATCACCAGAAGTTAGAAGTCACACGACACCAGATTATTGTCCAACCGGTTTATTTGAAATCACACAAGTGTCTGGAGCGCAGCCCCTTCATCAGATGCAGTGAGACAGCACAGCACACAGATTCAGAGTTTATAGGCAGACAGATCAAAAGATCATACAACTGGTGTGAATAGAGTGTCAGATGATAAGTCTCTGCAGCTGACCAAGTGTTAGATTGTGAGTAAAACGTCAACAGCTGAATAACCAGCGAAGGGATGACCTATTATCCCAGTTAAGTGAGGCCGAGACAATTACAAAAAATTAAAGATAAAAGGTGGTGCTGGAGACAAACTAAACAACTAGAATAACAATGGCTATAAAGAGTCACATGCCAAGGGTCTAACCAAAGTAATAACTAATTCAAAATTGTACAAACTAATTTAAGATAGAGAGATCATAACAATTTATCAAGGTGATGCATCAAAACAGGACAGTAAGGAAGATTTTAACAGATACAGAACAGTACGGTGGGGTCACTTGTTGCGCAATACACGGCAGACACTCGTGATTCGACCAATGCTGTCTATTTCACACGCTGCAGGCAAGGATGCCCTGAGACAATGGTATATTAGCAACTGCATGGTTTTGTCACAACAGATGAACAAACACCACACAACAATCACCAAACAGGGGTGTTCCCTCCCAGTGGGGGAACACTTCAGCAGTCAAGGACATTCAGCCTCCGATCTTCGGGTAAGCATCCTCCAAGGAGAACTTCAAGATACACAACAACACAGAATTGCTGAGCAGAGACTGACAGCCAAGTTCCAAACCAATGAAGACAGCCTCAACCATGATCTTGGGTTCATGTCTCGCTACAGGTGATCCCACCACACTTCTATATCTGTTAAAATCTTCCTTACTGTCCTATTTTGACAGCATCATCTTGATAAATTGTTATGATCTCTCTACCTTAAATTAGTTTGTCCAGTTTTGAATTAGTTATTATTTTGGTTAGACCCTCAGCATGCGACTCTTGTACCTATTATGTTATTCCAGTCATATTGTTTGTCTCCAGCACCACCTTATTAATAATTTTTTGTAATTAATAATTCATTTAATTGGATTATAGGTCATCCCTTCGCTGGTTATTCAGCTGTTCACATTTTACTCACAATCTAACACTCGGTCAGCTGCAGAGACTTATCATCTGACACTCCATTCACATCAGTTGTATGATCTTGTGATCTCTCTATGTATAAACTCTGAATCTGCGTGCTCTGCTGTCTCACTGCACCTGATGAAGGGGCTGCGCTCCAAACACTTGTGTGATTTCAAATAAACCTGTTGGACTATAATTTGGCGTTGTGTGACTTCTGACTTTGTCCACCCCAGTCCAACACCAGCACCTCCACACCACTGCTGGAGACAGTGTTAACCAATTTACAAGTCAAAGCAACTCAACATTTCCTCCCAGTTAAGCGGCTGCAGAGCAACCCAAAGTTCCCAAGATGAGGTCAGTGCCTTTAAGTTACAGTGCAAGTGACTTACTGGCACTTATCTCAATCTATTTTAGTATATTGTATTTGCTGCTCAAATGGATATCCTTTACAATAAAGGAAATTAAACAAAATTTGGAAATCATTTTGCTAAGCTCTTTGTTCAATCTCCAAGACCATGATTCAACCTCCAGTCACTTGCCATTTTAATTCTCACCTCATTTCCATTCTGGTGCATCTGATACTGTTTCAGTCAGTTTAAATAAAAGCTTGAGGAAAAGCTTTGAAGATCAGCAACATGTCTTCTAATTAGGTACTTTATAGCCTTGGACCCCAAAATAAAGTTCAACAAGGTCAGGTCGTAATGTTCAATAAATACAAGTGAGCAAGTGTTAATAGTTATTCTGTTGCCATTTACAGAATCTCCAGACCAATCATTTTTCTTGTCCCATTACTAAACCATTATGCCTTCCACCAGCATAGCTTTTGGTCATTTAAATCATTGCTGCCTTTCTAACTGAACACCAAACTTTGTCTTTTCTTCCTCTTCCCTGGCCGTTGGTTACCTTGCTTAAAACCAATTACAACCAATTAACATTTTGCAGTCTAAAATAGATCTGAAATCTTAAATATTTCTTTCTGCAAAGATGCTACCCAATTTGTCCATTTCCAACATGTGCTTTATTTCAGGTTTCCATTTATTTTATCAACTTCATTTAGAATTGGTAGATTAAAGTACAGGTGCTGTGTGATTGCCAAGATTATAACACGTGAAACTACAATGCTGTACAGTAAAACACATCATTTCCAATTTACATGACAAAATCATAAATTTGATTAAAACTGTGCTTTTGGTATGAAGGTTGGTAAAGAGGGTACATAGGAAGTTAAATAATATCCTATTGGGTCTGAGGCTACAATTCTCTGAAATTGAACAAGGTCGTAGTTTTGCCCAGTGATGAAATTTTGATTAATGTGCTCCTTTTAAAGCTGTGCAGTTCATTTACAAGTAGAACTCAGTTTGCAAACAGGTTCCATTCTGGAGTCCATTTAGCAAATCAATTTGTATGCAGGTTGGAACACAATGCAGGACAACATAAAGGAACTATTCATGAAGTAGAGGAAATGTTCGTTTGTTAGATCTTTAAAATTACATCCCTGTATGAGATTGTGTTCATAAGTACAGGTGTTTATAAGTCAGAGACGCCCTGGAATATCAACAGTATGCAAGAAAGAATAAGAGTATGAATCTTACTTCAATCTATTAGTTGGGATTGTAGTTATTTCTGTGCTAAGCATATTTGTAAGATTTTCAAAATAGGTTCAATTGTAGAAAATGAATTTTTCAACTCATTGCCCAAACAAAATTGAAATCACTGGAAAGGAAAATGGCACTGCTTTAACAAAGTCATTTTTACACGAAGGCACTAATTAGCAAGTTGGGATATAAGCCTATCAGGTTTAGAAAACACAAAATGACAAAAGCGAGTACTTACCAAAAATACAGGGAGTTGAAACTTATCATTTAGAATAACAGCCTGAACACTGCAGGATCCACAGAGTTTAGCCACTATATGGTCATGGCTATAAAAGTTTGCATGAAAGATAAAGAGAAGAATCCCAGTTCCTATAGAAAGAGTATCCTGGATTAGATTAATCTACATATATGGAATGCCAATACAACACTTTTGCTGCCTCCACTAAGTTATAGCTGATGTACCCTTACAAATGTAATTTGCCCAATGTTTGCAACAGACAATGCAAGACTAAAACCAAAAATGCCACCCCAATATCAAAGTTAAATTAGATAGCATTTGGCAAATAAAGGAACAAAAGTAGCAGTAACTAATAACATAGGAACAATTAGGTAACTTTTTGCTCTCAAACATGTTCTGCTATTCAATGAAATCATGCCTAATCTATAACCCAAATGCAATTACCTACCTTTTACTCAGTTTTCCTTCATGCCTTTAGTTAACAAAAATTGGATTGATCTCGGACTTAAAATTGACCGTTGATCAGGCAACAACTATCTTATAGAAAAAAAGTCTCAAACGTCAACACAAAGGGTGGCAAATATTTCCTAATTTGATAATTGAAAGGTTTTGTTCCAATTTGTGGAGTCTCATCTTAGACTCTATAGTCAGCAAAAATTACCTCTATCTACACTTTCAGTTCCACTCACTACCATGAAAGATTTGATCAAATTACCTTCTAACCTGCTGAATTAAAAGGAATACAACCAAAATCTATGTAACTTCTTCTTATAACCCTTAGATCCCAGTATTTATGTGTCACTCTCTCCAATGTTACTGTATCCCTAGCACTGCACTCCCAAGTCTCAACTGTTTCAAGACGTTCACCATTTAGAAAGTACTTTGTACTAACTTTTCTACGTCAAACGGTTGACATCCGATTTCCTATACTGAAATCTACGAGGATTGTGCTCACTTAATCCATATTTCTTTGGAATTTTATGCTTCCATTTACACCACTTCATGTTACCCACCTTTGCGACATCAACAAATTTGGATATGTAGCTCTCTATTCCATAATCTAAATTTAAGGGGTTGAACCAGTTTCAATTAGTTAAGAGTAAATAATCAATCAGTCAGCAATGTTTTCAGAAAGAACAAGTGGGACAAAGCTGAGTACCCACGGAATTAAAGAGACAAGAAAGGACTGGAACACAAAAAAAAAGGGAAAGGCTAGAAACGTCAGGAATGATGACGAGGAAGCAGAACGACTGTATCGGGGGTATTGTATTAGCAATGGATTGAGAATTGGTTAAAGACACAGCAGACAGTCAGGATTAATAGGCCTTTTCAGGTTTGAAATATGCAAGTAGTGGAATTCCACAATGACCAGTCCTAGGGCCTCAATCATTTAGTATCTATATTAATGGCATAGAGGGTGCAGAATGTAATTTATCCAAATTTGCTGACAATACAAAAATAGGTGGAAGTGCATGTTGCAATTATAACACAAGGAATCTGCAAAGGGATAAACATAGGTTGAGTAAGTTGACAAAACCTTAGCAGATGGAGTTTACTGTAGGAATGTGTAAGGTCATGCACTTTGGTAGGAAGAATCAAAAGACAGGCTATTTAAGTGGACAGGGATGCTAAAAAAGGTACCATTTTAAATACCTAAACATCAAATCAATTAATAAGTAACATATGCAACTTTGATATAGTTTCCCTTCTGCTGACATAACTTTGTTTTTTAAAAAACCCATCCTTAATATTTGCTCTCCAAATTTTGATTCAGAATGTTCAAACTTGTCCATTCCTAACAGTACTGTGGATTTTCGTACACCAAGGAACATAACTGTTCAAGAAAGCAGCTCACTACCATCTTCTCCAGGGCAAACAGCGATGGGCAATAAATGCTGGCCTCCCACATTCCACGAAAGAGCAAAACAAACTCTCCATCTTAAATCATCAGGAAGCTAGCAAATGCTCCCAAAAATGGCAGGTGTTCTAGAAATGGTATACAATCTTCTCTTATAAAACTAAGAAACAAATTGTATTCATTGCAAGAAAGTTAATGAGCAGCATTTGAAACAAGACCTGCTTATAAGCGGTGAGCAACTTAATGACATAAGCATAAGTAACTAACCATTTTTAGCTGCCCACAAGTTGCATTTAAGTTTTAAGCAGTGCCTTTTTCATTGACAAGTGAAAACAATGCAAGTGATGCAGACTTTTCATAGTGTAAGGACACATATGCAAATTAGCTCTAAGAGCATTATGAAAGCCATTGTGCATACACAGTTCTTCTGGTTTGAGTACCAGGGATTTCAATTTTTATGACGCCAGTGAGCAATTCAGCAATGGTAAGACTATTGAACATTATGGAGCGATGGTTGGATTCCTTCTTGTTGGTGGGGGGTCAGTGCCTAACAATGTGTGGCACAAATGTTACTTACCACTTAACAGCTCAAACCTGGATGTTGCCCAGCTCTCGCTGTATATGGACATGAACTACAGTATCTGAGCACAATGCTCAGCGCCACACTTTCTTGCAATATCCCCACATCTGACCTTATAATGGAAAGAAGACCAGTGATGAAATAGCTGAAAATGGTTGAGTGTATGACAATATCCTGATGAACTCAGGTAATGATGCTGTGGGACAACAAGGTGCAGGGCTGGACGAACACAGCACGCCAAGCAGCATCATAGGAGCAGAAAGGCTGACGTTTCAGGCCTAGACCCTTCATCAGTTTTTTCTGATCAGTTGTTTCAAACGCTGCTCATTAACTTTCTTGCAATGAATACAATTTGTTTCTTAGTTTTATAAGAGAAGATTGTATACCATTTCTAGAACACCTGCCATTTTTGGGAGCATTTGCTAGCTTCCTGATGATTTAAGATGGAGAGTTTGTTTTGCTCTTTCATGGATTGTTGTCTCGGATTCTCCAGCATCTGCAGTTCCTACTATCTCTAATGATGCTCTGGGATTGAGATGATCAACCAACAACTACAACCATTTTTCACTGTGCTAGGCATAACTCTAACAAAAAAGAATGCAACACTCCCTCAGTACTCAGTCAGCTGAGATGGCTCAATATCTGGATTGCAGATTTAGCTTGTATCCGACTCAACTTGCAAATGGTAACTGATTAAGTAGTGCAAGATAATGCTACAACTTGGTGCAGTGATATCCTGAATTTAAACTTCATTATAGAACAGATGACGAAGATGGACACATCATGTAGCATTGAGGGAATGCTGCATTGTCTGAGGTTTTCCCATTGCACAGGGAAGATCTCCTCTTCTCAGAGCCAACACTACTCAGAATGCCAATAAAATTAGATGTCTAATTGTTCAAATATTCTTTGTAGGATATTGCTGCGTGCAAATTAGCTGCCACACTTGTCTATAAAAGTGTTTAGTTTGCTGAGATTTGGATCCTCCAAGGACATAAAATAAATGCAAGTTTGTACTTACTTCCTTTCAAATGAACTTAAAATATAGTTCAGTTGGATCAAAGAAGTTGATATAAATTCAAACTGTTGCTTATATTGCAACAGAGTGTGATATACATGCTTCTGACTTTTTTAAAACATGGAATACTTTAATTGATTTGAACTAGTTAAATTTGTGCAAAGGTTTCTCCAAATTTAAGGCAATACAGTAATAAGAAAGAGAAAAAGAAACTGGAAATTCAAAACACAGGAGTTAAAAAGGTCCTTGAAAACTTGATTTTAACTTGAAATCCTCCCTTCCATTCTGTTTAATCAGTTATATCCAGGAGCTCCATGTCTGACATCACTTCTGAAAGATGAAACCCAAGATTTTAACCATACTTCTAGGTTTGTGGTCAACATTTATATTTTATTTTAAATTACAACAACTTTTCTGAAATAAAAACAGGCTTTTAGTAGAGAAAGCATGCTTCAAGTTAAAGAGAAACAAAAAGCTAGAAGCAAAAAACAATGTCTTGATATTAAACTTGGAATCATTCTCTAAACTGGACAACGATATCTCTCATTGTTGAAAGTTAGTCAATGAAGCCTATCCTAGCCAGTATTAGTAGGTTTATCTTTATGTTGTAGTATACTCACACACCTTCAACTGAACTGTGCTGAGGTTTATAGTTGAAGTCCAAAGCAAAGTCTGGTCCTTCACAAAGTCGGTGACAAGCAACAGGAAACACAGGCTCAAGCAATGACAGACGTGCTTCAAAGTAATCTCTGATTGTTTCATCTGTTACTCTGGATATACTAGTCAGAAAATAAAGTTTACTTATTTTTAAGCTCTCATCTCCAAATATCCTAGAAATTTACCAGCCTTTTTCAAACATCATGAAAAATACATAAATAATATTTCACAGGATTTATTCCAGGACAACATGCTTTGGAGTTTGTTACAGTGATCCCTATCGTGACTATGCTGGTGATTTCAATCACACAGACGGGAAATTAGCCATAGAAAGGAAATAGGCAAGAAGAAGACTGAATGCTGTTGACAAATATCAAAGCAATTGTGACAGTCCCGAATGTATATTTCTTAGCTACAGTTGTGCACATGTGTGCGTGTGTGCACGGAGTGGAAAAAGACAGAAGAGAAAGTGTATATAAACAGAATAAGCAGAAAAGCTCTTACTCTTAAGAAAGAAAATCTTTCAATTTTCTCCTCTTCCAGACGCGCTTTCACAGTAACCCTAAAGTGTAGCCACAACCATTTATTGAATGTGCATTCACAAGAACATGATTTGCCAGCTGAAGGCTAACAGATCATGTTAGATCAATTTCAAGCAGAGTTTTAGCAACTTAAATTAACAATTAACTTGTTGGATAAACACACAGTTCTAGGATTTTGATTCAGATAGTCATTCCTTTTTTCTTCTTAATGGAAGTGATTCTCCCAAGTCACAAGTAGGCTGTGAGAACATGCAAGTAGCCCTTCCATTGTGCTTGTGCTCCCAGACAGAATTTGCTGTCAGTGACCTGACCAGAAAGGCTGAGCTTCTCTGTTGTTACTATTTCTTCAAGTATTCTGGTCTATAGCCAGACTTAGCAAGATGGAAGCTTTACTCTTTATTCAACTAAAGAAGAACTGAATGAAGTTGAGGTACACAGCAATCTGATCAGTTTCACTACTACAGCAATTACTGTAAATACAGCTAGAGTGTCAGCATAATTTGTCAGATAAGCCCGAGTGAAAGCACTTAATTGACAGGTAATTGCATTTTAAAAGCTTCAAAACTGCTGGCCACTCAAAGCATCAGTTACAAAGAGTGCTGCTATCATTTGCCAAAAATAAGTGGGCTGCATTGGACAAATGGCATGGTACAACAATCGGAACTGTATTTGTAAACTTAAACATTGAGTACTGGTACGATAGTCATCTGGTACAAACTCAGTTAAGGCTGGCATCTGTGGATCAGTGTGGAAGAACCTTCCCTAATCCAGGTTGACAAAGCAAAAAGGACAAGTTGGGATCAGAAGTTCTGCACAGACCAGAGGTTGAATAGCGTGTGCAGATTTCAGATGATTTCACTTAACATTTAAAAATCTGTTCCTTTGTGGGAATTTATTAGGTACTTAACCAGGGGTACAAAGCTGATAAACATCCACAAAATATCAAAACACAAAGCAGCATAATCCCACACTGTTAAGAGCGGAATAAGAAAGAAATCAGATGTTTGAAACCATAGAAATAGTCACCTGACATAGCAACGAAAATAATATCCCTGATGATGCACTTACGTTTCCACATGATTCTTCAGGAGATCATACACTAGAACATTATTGCTCTGTTTAGCATAGTATAGAGCATTGTTCTGGTGTTTAGAAAGGATACCACAGTCTGCACCATATTCTAGCAGAAGTCTTACAATGTCAGCATTTCCTCTCTTACAAGCCTACAAAAGGCAAAATACAAGTGTTAAGTGATCGGATCACATTCCTTTTGTTGCTAAGTAATAATGTATTTTTAGCTCTTCCTTTAATCACCACTAGGTTTCCTACTTTTCCTTGTTTACATTTTGCCCCTTGACAGTATCTGTAGGCACAAAGTCAGTCCCGACAAATATGTGACAAGTACTAAAGCTTTCTACCATCACCTTCTTTCTGTTCTAGCACAACTTACCACCTACAGAAGAAAAATCATAGAATGATAAGAGGCACAGATGGGCTCAATTTGTGATATCTCTGCATACGAGTCATTAGCTACACCCACTATCCTGCCATTTCTCCGTATGTTTACCGTAAGTTTTCCCTGCAGATAAATTATTCAATTTATTTACAAAAACTGTGATTGAACCTGCCACCAAACTCTCAGGTAGCGCAGCCCAGATCCTAACTTGCATAAAAGCTTTTCCTCATGGTTGCTCAGTTTCTTCCAGCAATTAACTTAAATCCACATACTTAGTTTTCAATTTTCCATCAACTGGACTTAGTTCATGCCAAATCTATTGTACCATCTGTTATTCAACTTTGAAAGAAGCAAAGCCATATTTTGCTCCCCCTTACAAAAGGCTCCAAACATTTATCCTGATTATATCCTCCTCAGGTGAGGCCGTAGACTTGCTCACCGAACCAGTGGGTTTGGTTGCAAACGTTTCATCACCCTGCTAGGTAACATCATCAGTGCACCTCCTGTGAAGTGTTGGTGTTCTGTCCCGCTGGTTATTTATATGCCTCAGTTTGCTGGGTTTTTTGGTACCACTTCCAGTTCTGTTTCAGTGGTTTGTACACAGGGTCTAATTCAATGTGTTTGTTGATGGAGTTCCAGTTGGAATACCAGGCCTTCAGAAATTCCCTGGCACGTCTCTGTTTGGTTGGGCGAATATGGATGTGTTGTCGCAGTCGAATTCATGTCCCTTGTTGTCCGCATGTAGTGAAACAGGTGAGAATTGGTTATGTCTCTTGGTGGCCAGTTGGTGTCCATGTATCAATTTTCTTCTGGTTTGGCCTATGTAGGGTTTCTCACAGTCCTTGCATGGTATTTTGTACATTACGCAGGTTTTGCTGGTTTTGGGTATGGGATCCTTTACGTTCGTCAGTAGCTGTTGTAGGGTGGTTGTTGGTTTGTGGGCTACCCTGATAACTCTGGGTCTGAGTAGTCGTGTGGTTATCTTTGAAGTGTCCTTGATGTATGGTAGGGTGATAAGGGAGTCTAGTCTGGTTGTGGTCTGTCTCAGAAGTAAGGGCAGATTGTGCTTTTCGGGTATCCATTCCTTTTGAAGACATTGTATAGGTGCTCCTGTTCTGCTTTGTGTAGTTCCAGGTTGCTGCAATGTATTGTGGCTCTTTTAAATAGTGTCCTGATGCAGTTTTTTTTGTGTTACGTTTCAAAGAGTTCCCTCCTCATTCTTCAAAACTCTGCTGAAAGCAAATCCCATTGAACCAATCTCTTATGTGACAAAACTGCAATCCCAGGAATCAGTCGAGAGAACTTTGATCTAGTCCCCTCTCAAAATATTTCTTTTCTTTGGTAAGGAAACCAGAACTGCATACAATACTTCAAGTGTGCTCTCACCAAGGCCTGCACAGCTCCAGCAAGATCCTCATGCTCCTTTACCTAAACACTATTGCTGTGAAGGCCAACATACCATCTGCCTTTCCCACTGCTTGCTACAACTGCATGCTTTGTTTCAGTGAATGGTGTACAAGGACATCCAAGTCTCTCTGTACATTAACTTTCCTAATCTAGCACCCATTTAAATAATACTCCACCATTCTGTTCTTACTACCAAAATGGACAACTTCACACTTCTAATTTTGTGTGGTCAGCAAACTTAGAAATATTACATTTGATGCATTCGACCAAATTGATATATGTGAATAGCTGGAACCCCAAGTACTGATCCCTACACTACTCCATTTATCGAATGACCAATTTTTTCCTACTGTTCCATTTGCTTACCAATTCTCAATATCTGTATATTACCACAAAACTGTGTGCATTTATTTTGTACACTATCCTCTAATTTTATCAAAAGCTTTCTGAAAATCCAAACACGCCACAGTCACTGGTCTCCCCATTTACTCTACAAGATATATAGTCAAAAAAACTCCCGTCAGTTTGTCAAACATGACTTCCATTCCATAAATCCACATTTACTCTATGAAATCCCATTTTTCTTCCAGAAGTGTTCTATTACTACAGCCACTAACAAACTCCAGAATTTTCCTTATTACCGATGTTAGTAACTCCCCGACTTTCTCCCTCTTTTAGTAAGAGGAAAGGATAGTGGGGTTGCATTTGCCAGCCTCCAAACTACCGGGATTGATTCAGGATCTACAGAATTTTGGAAGATGACAATCAACGACTACACTATTTTCATGGTCACCTCCTTCAGTAACCGGAGATTTGTATTGTCACCCTGTGGATTTCAGCTTTCAATCCTACTAATTTCTCCAGTACTTTATAAAAAACATAACGTTCTTTTCTAGAATAAAACAAAGTACTGTGGATGCTGGAGATCTGAAACAAACAAAAACAGAAATTTGTTTTCTTTCCATAAAGGGTCACTGGACTAAACGTTCACTGTTTCTCTTCACAGAAGGAGCAAGATCTGTCACATTTCTCCAGAAATTTCCATTTTGTTTGGTAGTAATGTCCTTCACTGTTTTCTTAGTGTTTGTGGGAATTTACTCAGCTGGGCTTCACAGAGAAATAAAGTAGCTGTTTAACTGCTTTGTCATTTTATTGTTCTCCATTATCCCATTTCGGACTATAAGGGGTCTACATTTGTCTGCACGAATCCTTTTCTTTTTACATACATACAGTATGTCTTACAGTTCACTTTTATATGATTTACAAGTTTACTCTCATAGTTGCAATGGAGAACCAGGAGGCCAATTTAGAAAGAATGATAATGCATTCCCAGTCATGATATCGTCATAGTTCCCTATTTCAGATTTAGGGCCCTTGTACATAATCTAGTCATTAGTTTTCTATTCACTAACACGTGGACTTCAAAACCCTAATTTACAAATCCCTCCGTCCTTTCCTACTTTCAACGCCCTCTGGCTTTATGTATAGCTTGTGTTCTTAAGATCATCACCTCTGCTCCACACACTTAACACTCTTCATTCTATCATAGATAACAATCTTAAGGTGCGTTAGCTCTACTAGTTTGTAATAAATTCTTTTCCCACCAGAAGTCTACTGAAACCTCAACTATTATCTATCATTCAACTCCCCATAACTATTCAGAAATTTTTTTTCCTTGAAGCATCTTGGGATTTTTTTCCTGCTAACTGAGCACAGAACGGTTGTGAATTAAAATGAACAGCCATCTGACCATTTGTTGACATGTTTTAAAACAACACTATCCTAACATTGATTTAGATCATTCTAGGCTATAAACATTTTCTTGATCAACTCTAAAACCTCCTCCATTTACAAGACCAACCACTATTTTTCCCCACAGGGAAACAAATGTCTATGTACCATTAAAAAAAACAACTGAGCAACAGGGAACAAGCTACTTAAAGTTTACTTTTCCAATGCAGAACCATGCGAAATGCCAACGTCAGTTCACCTTGAGCATACTGATAGGGTAATACCAAGAATAATTACAAATTGGAACTCACTTTTGTCCTACAAAATTCCACTTCAAAACATGATATAAACAATGTGTTCTGAGAGCTTTGGGGGGCACCAGCATAAATGACACATACCTTCATTAATGCAGTCTCTCCACTGATTTGTTGAACATTGACTTGGGAACCTGCCTCCAGAAGAATTGCAACTGTTGTCAGATAATTCTTAGGAAGTAGAGAAAGAGGAAATAAAAACAGGTTAGATGCTCATATTTCACATGTAGCACAGTGTGCTACATTTAGCAAGCGTGTATAAATGGGATAATTTGTACGAAGTCTCAGTTATAACAGCTTTTTCAACCATGAGGAGGACAGGCTTTAACCTTTCAGCAATAGGCTATGACTTTAGATAAGAGTCTTTAGTCTCTATACTATGTAAATAGGCTTCTGCAACATTTCCTTGAGAGATGTGGCAATACAGCAGAAAGGACATTCAAAATTCAAGTGAGGGAGAAGGCAGGAGAAGAAATGCATTTTCTGAAATAAAGAACAAAATCAGTGCATCTCAAATAGAAGCATGGAACAAAAAAAAGTCAAGGTCATCTTGTTCATTCCAATTGTAATTTGTTTTAAACTCTACTTCACACCATTTTATCATCCGAAAAAAACTTCAATTTCCTTCTAGGCCCTGGCAACACTAATATATTCCACATAACATCTGACTAACTCTAGAATTACTTATAACTATGTATGCTAATTCTAACTGTGGTAAGGGGTTAATCAATACCTTTATCAGCTAAGTGTTTGTTTCACATATCAATTCCTCTGGTCATGGATGGAAGAAGTATTCCTAATCTCAGGCCTCACCTGGATGCTCTACAGTTTGATATTTATCATTTGGTTCTCCATTATACCACTGGATTAGCACTGGCTCTTTATACTGGAAGCCATTCAACCGGGGAGGAGCAAGAAGGAATGTAGTGGACAGCATAGAGAGAGGTGTAGAGGCGGTGGTGCAAGGGTGAGGATCTAACTGTTGTAGTCGATGAAGGTACCAATCTCAGAAGACAACAAAATAGGTGCTGCGTAGTTAGGAGGAAGAGCTAGGCAGCTAATTGAGAAACAGAAGATACCAATCTCTCAAACACAAATTAGCAGAAGGTGAATAAGATTAGATAAAATAAACAAGTGATTTGAAGACGACTGAGAGCAAAAGCGCGTTCTGGTTTGTGTAGCACTGACACCAGTTTTGGGGAAAAATGGGAGCTGTTCCTTTGGGACAGTTTACACCTGAAACGTGCTGGGACTGGTGTCCCAGTGAGCCGCATTATTAGGAAAGGATTTCTTAAATTAAATAGCAAGGATTAAGGATCAAATTTAGGAAAATGTGGTAAACCAAAAAATAGAGACAAGGCAAAACAAAGGTATTAATAAAGGAAACAACAAACACAGACTGCAACAGGAAGGGACAAATGTAAAAGTAAAATCAACAGATAAGGAAAGCTTTCTAAAGTAAGGAAGACAAAATAATCTGAACATATGGTATTTGAAACATGAGATGAATGAATAGGGCAAATTGAAATAAATGCATACAATTTGATGGCCAGTGCAGAGACATGGCTGCAGGATGACAGATTGACTCCTGACATTGAGGGGGAACAGGAGCTAGGAAATGTGGAGAGATGGCTGTGATTTAATTAAGCAATAAGCACAGTGGACAGGGATACCCTGAAGACAGGAAATCAGAACATGGAAGCTGGGAGGATGTAACGATAAAGGCAAAAAAAAAAATCACTTGAAGAGTGGTTTCTAGGCCCTTATCATTAACCACACGATAGGCTCCCATTTCTTCCATTATGTTACACCCTATCAGAAAGGTACAGCAATACTCATGGGAGATTTTAATTTACATATAGAATGGAAAAGGTCAGATAAGCAAAAAGGTAGCCTTGATGGATCACAATGTTTTTAGGATAGTTCCCTAGAACAGCATGTTCTCGGGCTAACCAGACAGCACATTATATTAGACCTGGTATTCATGACCCAACAGTGAAGATACCCCTAAGGTAGCAACCAGTGCAGTTTGATTGAACTTAACATTCAGTTTGAAGGAGGGAACGTGGATTCAAGCCTAAGGAAATTATAAGGGCATGAAGCTAAAGCAAACTGGCAAATTAGGTTAACGAACAGGTCAATAGATAATCAGTGGCAGGCATTTAAAGGAATTTTTTAGAACACAGAAATAGGTATGTTCCAACGAGAAAACAACATTCAAAGAGGAAGAACTGCCATTGGAGGCAAACTAGAAAAATTAAAGATGCATCAAGACAAAGAAAAAGCACAGTTACACAAAAATGGGTGGCAGGTTAAGGGATTAGATAGGACATAAAAATCAGCAAAGACTGAGTAAAAATTGAAAAAGGAAGGGAAAACTTTAGAGTACAAGAGAAAGCTAGAGATCTGAAAACAGATAAGAATTTCCAAAGATACTTTATTAACTCCTATTTGTGAGTGAGTGTTGGAAACGAATTAATAATGGAGAATAAAAAGATGGCAGACTAAGCAAAGAGGGATTTTGAGTTTTCACTGTACATGATATAAGAAACTTCCTAGAAGTACTTGTAAATCAGGAAATGGAAGGGAGAGAAAACCTCTAGAAAACTAAAAATTACCAAGGAAGTGTTACAGAGCAAACTACTGACGTGGAGACTGACAAGTGTTTGGTGTGTTAGTTCTAATTTTCTAAAAAAAAAATTCCCAGATTTGAATAATAGTTAGTATAACTTTTGTAAACTATAAAGCAAGAAACTACATGTCAGCCATGTGAAGTTAACTTTGGTCAACAGAAAGATGTTAGAGGCTATTATTAAAGAAATTATAGCAGAGCACATGGACTAATTCAAGTTAAAACAGGCAGAGTCAACAAAGCCATGTTAAACCAATTTATTAGAGTTCTTTGAAAAATAAGATGCGATGGATAAAGGAGAAATAGTGGATGACTGTACTTAGATTTCCAAAAAGCATCTGATTAAGTGCCACATCAAATCTTATTGCATGGACAGAAGACTGACTAGCTATTAGGAAACAGGAGACACTAATGGTGTCATTTTCTGTTAAGCAAGATGTAAGAAGTGGTATGCCGTACAGATCGGGCCTCAACAGTTTACAATTTATATAAAATGACTTGCGTGAAGGGACCGACGCTATGGTTGTTAAATTTGCTCATGACACAAAGTTAGGTAGGAAAGTAAGTGACAAAGAGGACAGAAGGAGACTACAAAAGGTGGCTAAAGAGGAGTGGGCAAAAATCTGGCAAATGGAGTATAAATGTGGGAACACGTGAAATTGTCCATTTTGGCAGGAAGCAGCAGCAAATTATCGAGACAGAGAGAGACTGCAGCGCGATTTAGGTGTCATAGTGCATGAATTGCAAAAAGCTAGTTTGCAGGCTCAGCAAGTAATAAGTGCATAGACATTATCATTCATTTTAAGTAGAATCAAAAACATACAGTTCTAAAAGGACATTGGCGAGACCACATTTGGAGTACACTGTACAGTATTACACTGAAAGCAGTTCAGTGAAGGATTACAAGACTAATTCACAGCACAGGTAGGCTGTCTTACAAGGAAAGGTTTGACAGACTAGATTTGTATCTGCTGGTGTTAGAATAGAGAGGGAAATTAATCGATCCAGAGGAGTCTTGACATGGTGAATGTGGAAAGGGTACTGCCTCTTTTTTTTGGGGGGGTGGTGGAAATCTAAACTAGGATTTACTATTAGAAATTCAAAGTAAGAGGTTGTCCATTTAAGACAGAAGACAACTATTTTCATCTAAGGGTCATGACTCTGTTGAACTCTCTTCTTCAAAACGGCATAAGAAGAATCTTTGAATTTTTCTGGTTGATGTCTTAAATGATAAGCAAGCATGAAAGGAGGCAACAATAATGAGATCAACCGTGATCTTTTCGAAGGGTGGAGCAGGCCCGATTGAGCCAAATGGCCAGTCCAGCTTCACATTTCTGTTTGTATGTAAATACATATCATTAATATCATATTCTAAAGCTTTTGCACAAACCCATAGAAATAGAAAAGTAGCCAAGAAAACTTCAACTTTTAATGGTGATTTAAAACATCAATAGTCTGATTCAAGGATAAGGAGTACACCACATGCTAAGTTTTACAAGCAAGAATGTGCCAGCCCTTGGTTTGTACTGCATCAACCAATATCACCGTGACCAAAGTTATCCTTAGACTAGACTGGAGGGGAAATATTTTAAGCCAACAATGAATAAAAATGACATGTAAATATTATTTTCCAAAACCAATTGTTACTGATAAAATATCAGAACAGAATACACAGAGAATGATCACATTGGGAATAGAAAAACTATCAAAATCAAACTTCAGCATTATTTAACACAATTTTGTAAGAAATTAATTGCAGATCGATTTTATTACTTCTGCCTTGCTTATCATATAACTGCAAACAAATTGTAACTGCATAAATAATTGATCAGCCAACATAGTAAGTGCTACCTTTTCAGCTGCATGCATCAATGCTGTTGTACCATTCTTCTGTCTAGAACTGATGTTTGCACCTTTCTTGATAAGCAACCTAAGGATATCATCCTGTCCTCCAGCAGCTGCAAACATGACTAGATTCATTCCACTAGGGTCCTGTAACAGACAAATCCTCTTAAATACGAAAGTTTCAAAGCAGATTACTCAACTGAATTAGGAACGTTCATCGCAATCCCCACTTAAATCTGATGAGTGGGATGATGGACTTGGCTCCTAGTTAATGTTCTGAGATTTCACCAGATTTCATGATTACGTTCCTAATTTTTTCGATTTACTCGGGTAATGCTGACAATGCTCTCATTAGCACTATAATTCTTTTGATCACAGTTATTTTGAAGCAATTTATCACAACCAAAAAGTTAAAAACCTGCATTTATATCTCACCTAAAGCATTTTACAGCAAGTACTCTTGATATGGTCAATGTTGGAAACGTAGCAACCAAATTACACACAGCCAAGTCCCAACAGCAGCATGGCATCATGTTTTTTGTTGGATACTTTTAATGATAATATTAACCAGAAACGAGAACGTCTCTTGGTGCTCTTCAAAATATTGCCAGAGTGTTGTTATTTTGTTAAAAACAATTGATCAGAGGGAAGCAGGGTCCAAACTGGAAGGTTGACCATGTGATGGGACAGCATTCTCCCAAGACTACAAGAATTATTGCCTGGATTATGTGCTTGAACTAATAACCTTTGACTCAGAATACTCAGTTTAAACAACAAATTTTTCTTAAATCCACTACTAGAAATAAATATTCTTTCAAAATTGGTAAAGTTACAAAATAGTTATCAAAACTGCATTCCATACTCTCAAACTAAATTTGTTCCACAAAATCAATTGTTATCTTTTAGGTTACTAATTCCTACCATCTAAACTCCAGCTGTAGACAAAAAAAAAATTCTGGTCAAAATGGAGTATAATTTGAAGTGGGAATTAGTGGAGATATCACTTTTGTGGGGTGACACCCAGAATCAATACCATAATGAATGATCACGGGAGCCAAAGTTCATTGAAAAACGTTCATCACAAAATGCCAAAGAATTAAAATTTTGTACTCATTAATAATAATTTAACTGTAGAATTATTTTCATGTTCAATGGGCCTCTATCTGCACTGTAACTATTCAACAATTATAAACGCAATTTCTTGACATATTGTACAAGAGTCCTTTAACATAGGGAAAAAGACCCGAATATTCAGAGGAGCACATTAAGGTGGAATTTGCCAATAAATCAAAGACAACATAATGACAAGAAACTGAAAATTTAGTCAAAGACTATTGTTTAAGCTTTGGAGGAGTGGAAGAGTGTTTTGGTAAGGGAACTCCTCAGTTCATAGTCCATAAGACTGAAAGTACAGCTGTCAAAAACGGGGCAAAAGAAGCGAAAGATATACGAAAGACTAGACTTGGAGGAAATAAGCAAGCCTGCCCCAAAAGGAAACAGAAAGCTATAGGAGGATTTAAACAGAATACAACATTTTTAGGTTGAGATGGTGGTGAACATAGGCCAGCAAGCACAGGTATTCCAGTTAAACATGACGAAGTTATACAGGATGAACAATGGGTGTGTAGCAAAGTCTGGCAATAAGAAAAACAATTGTGACTGCAACAGATGAACTGAGACAGGACAGAGACAGCTTGACAAAATGAAGGGGTCAAGCGACAGTAGTGTGGATAGAACTGGGTGTCACAAACATACATGTGGAATGTGATGGGTATCTTCAGGTGACCTCACCTTTTGGGTGATGCTGCCAAATACAGAAGCAAGGATCCACAAATAGATCCTACAGAACACCATGGACAACAATCAGGGTGGGAAGAGAAGACGTTGTAGGAGATCATAGGGCTAAAGTTTGATAGGCACGAATAGAATCATGCAAAAGCAGTCACAGTTAGAATTCTATCAAAGTCTATAGACAGGTCACGAAGGAGTAGTAGTGAAAAAGGAAACATAAGCATTTGCAAAAATGCAGCTTCCATATACAGCAATTTTTTTTTTTTTTTAAAAACACAGGTGGTTCGTGTGTGGAATGAACGTCCTGAAGTAGTGGTGGACCAGACACAGTTATAATGTTTAAAAGACATTTGGATAGGTACGGGAGTAGGAAAGGTTTGGGAGAGGTTTAGGCGGAATATGGGCCGGGAGCAGGCAGGTGGGACTAGTTTAGTTTGGGATTATGTTTGGCATGGACTATTTGGACCAAAGGGTCTATTTCCATGCTGTATGACTCTATACGTACCTCTTGATCTAGATTATACTCTTCGCTTGAATTTAGAGCCAGTTTTACGGTTAAATATTTCCCACTTTTTACTGCATCGCGCAACACACCTACATGAACAAGTTTATAAAATCAAGCAAAAATAATTATTAGTTAGGAAGTTTCCTCACTCTCATATTTACATTTAACTAATTTAATTACATTAAAATTTTCCTAAGCAAGATAACAAGGACAATAACAAATTGGCATTTTAGGATAGATGTGATGTAAGACAAGACATATTCAGCTTTCCAGCACTTTAATACAGAATGGACACGCTCATATTATACCACTTAACATTACGTATATTCACATTCCTGATCGGGGAAGATGGAAAATAAATGAGGTGCAAGTCGTGGAATCAGTCAAAAAGAAACATAAATCCAAAACAACCAATAACTCAGTCTACTGTTGATCAACGATGTTGTGCCGGGTGTCCCCGACAGATCTATCAAACAGCACTTACACTCAGTTTCGGTTCCACCTCGGTGACCCAGCTCCTAACCTCATTGTAGCTTTCATCCAAACACAGGCAAATGAACCGACCTAAACAGCATTTAACCGAGTATAACATCAAGTAGTCACACGACACCAAGTTATGGTCCAACAGGTTTATTTGAAATCACAAGCATTCAGAGTGCTACTCCTTCGTCAGTTGAAGTGACACACTTAACCTGACAAAGGAGCAGCACTCCGAAAGCCTGTGATTTGAAATAAACCTGCTGGGCCATAACTTGGTGTCATGTGACTTCTCACTGTGTCCACCCCAGTCCAACACCAGCAGCTCCACATCATGGCTAACGTCAAGTAGATTTAATAAACTTGAAACCAATAGGAATCTGGAGGTATTTTCTGCTAATTGAAGTCATATCTAGCATAAAGGAAGATAGATGATTGTGGTTGCTGGAGGCCAATAATCTCAGTCCCCAGACATGTCATCAGGCTAGTGCCCAAAGCAGCGCCATGACCTTTCCTCTATAATAAAATCCAAAGGTGGGGATGTTTACCGATGATTAAACAATTTAGCACTATTTTTAACTCCTTAGAGGCTGAAGCAGTCTGGGCCAGATACAGCACAACCTAGACGACATTCAGGCTTCTGATCAGAGGCAAATAACATTTGTGTAACCCAAGTTACAAGTAATCTGCACTTCAAACCAGACAAGGCCAATGGTGAAATGTTCAATGGCGTTACCACGTCGGAATCCTCTATCATCATCATCCTGGGGGTTACCACTGACCCAAAACTGAAATCTTCCACTCATATAAATACTGTGACTCTAAGAGCAAGTCAGAGGCTAAGAATTCTACCTTAAGTAATTCACCTCCTGACTCAGAGTTATAGAGCTGTACTGCTTGGAAACAGACCCTTTGGTCCAACTCATCCACACTGACCAGATAACCCAAATCAATGAAGTCCCATTTGCCAGAATTTGGCCCATATCTCTCTCCTAACTCTTCCTATTCATATATCCATCCAGGTGCCTTTTAAAATGTCATCATTATATCAGCCTCCTCTATTTCCTCTAGTAGCTCAATCCATACAAGCACCATCCACTGCATGAAAAAGTTGCCCCTTTGGTCCCTTTTAAATCTTTCCCCTCTCACCTTAAACTTATCCCCTTTAGTTTTGGATACCCTCTGTGGAAAAGACCTTGGCTATTCACTCTATCCACGCCTCTCATGAGTTTATAAATCTCTATAAGGTCATCGCTCAGCCTCCGACAATCCAGCGAAAATAGCCCCAGCCTATTCACCCTCTCCCTATAGCTCAAATCCTCCAAACCTGGCAACACCCTTCTTATAGCAGGGAGACCAGAACTGAATGCAGTATTCCAAAAGTGGTCTAACCAATGTCCTGTACAGCCTCAATATAACATCCCAATTCCTGTACTCAATCCACTGACCAATAAAGGCAAGTGTACAAAACGCCTTCATCATTACCCTATCTACTTGCGACTCCACTTTCAAGGAACTATGAAGCTGTACCCAAAAGGTCTCTTTGTTCAGCAACACTCTCCAGGACCCTACTATTAAAGTGTACAAGTCCTGCCCTGGTTTGCATTTCTAAAATGCAACACCTCACTTTTGTCTAAATTAATCTCCAATGACCACTCCTCTGCCCATCTGATCAAGGTCACATTATACTCTGGAGGTAACCTTCTTCACTGTCCGCTGAACCACCAATTTTGGTGTCATCTGCAAACTTACTAACCATTCCTCCTATATTCAAATCCAAAGCATTTATATAAAGTAACAAAAAACAGTGGACCCAGCACTGATCCTTGTGGCACATCACTGGTCACAGGCCTCCAGTCCGAAAACAACCCTCCACCACCATCTTCTGTCTCCTACCTTAGAGCCCGTTTTGTATCCAAATGGCTAGCTCTCCTTGGATTCCATGTGATCTAACCTGGCTAACCAGTCTACCACGCAGAACCTTGTTTAACGCCTTGAAGAAGAGTCTTCAAAAGTTTGTCCACCATCTACAAGGCACAAGTCAGGACTGTAAGAGCAAGTTATTGCAGATGCTGGAATCTGTACTGAAAACAAATGCTGGAGATCACAGCAGGTCAGACAACATCCATGGAGAGACAGCAAGTTAACATTTCGAATCTAGATGACTTTTCAAAGTTGAAGTGAAGTTTGGAAGGAACAGCATTTACGCTATAGTTAGGGTGGGGGTGGCAGTGCTGGGCATAGAGTGCTGGTAGAGAAAGGATGTTGATAGTTCAGATTAAGTGATTGAAATGTGAGAATTTGAGAAACTTCGCTTCAGCTCTGATGAAGAGTCATCTAGACTCAAAACTTTAGCTTGTTCTCTCTCTGTGGATGCTGTCTGACCTGCTGTGATCCCCAGCATTTGTTAATTTCAGAACAAGTCAGGACTGTGATGGAACGCTCCTCATTTGCCTAGATGAATGTAGCTCCACCAACATTCAAATCATAACATTAAGAAAAACATAGCTACCTGACTAGCACTCCCTCAAGCATTCACTTTTGCCAGTGGTGTGTACGATATACAGGATGCATTGCAACAATTTGCCAAACCTCCTTAAATAACGCCTTCAAAACCAGAAGGACACGGGCAGCAAATGCATGGGAACAATGGTCAGTCGCAACTTCCCTTTCAAATCATTCATCATTTTAACTTGGAATTAAGTCATCCTTCCTTCACTCTTAATGGATCAAAATCCTGGAACTTCCTAACAGCGTTGTGCAGTAAACTGGTGCAGGTACTCCCTGGTTCTAGGTAGCAACTCAACATTACCTTCAAGGGCCAGGAGGAAACAAATGTTGCCCTTGTCAGCAATGCCCACAAACCATGAAAGAATTCTTCTAAATTGTACACAAGCAACTTTTAATTAAGCGGTCAAATAATTTGTCTGATACTCACTACACAGTTTGAAATAGAACACATCAATGCCCTTAATATGCTAAAAATATATTTCAGGCTACAATTGGCAAAAACCTGCCTGAGCATACTATTCCTTCATCTGAAGTTTGAGTCAAGGTTAAAGAAATATCTCAAACACATCCTCCTATACTTAGACAATTACAAAGTGATATCTGAGCTTGGATCTCAATTGTAGGACTGGTCTACATCGATAAATATTATACTTGTATTGATTTCTGAACTAATTATGAAGCGAGACTAGTATTAACAATGAACTACCTTGGTTATTCAACATCAAATTCAAGATTGTAGAGTTATGACAAATTCAACAGCCCACACATCTTATGAAAATATTTAAGCCATTTTAAGCATTTCTACATTCAATCAAAAAATGTCCATCAAACAATGTAGAAAAAGAGCTCTTGAATAATTACTCAGACCTATGCAATTCTTTGCAAGACACTAAGTTCAAAACTTTTTGAAGTAATAGGATGAACGGATTAAAACCAAAGATACAAATTCTGTTTTGCATTCTTTTACAAAATGCTAATACATGTGCCACAAATTCGAAGTTTATTTCACATACACATTACGAAACCCACAAAACTAATTTCAAATATAATCTTTAACTCAAAAACTTGTAATTGCAGAACAATCAACAAGTAACTTACAAAGTATAGTTTAAAATAATTTATAATGATTTGAATGTGCTGTTAACACTAATAATTCCAGAAGTTATTTTGTTGAAACTCACTATTGGATATTGTTTTTGGTACAGAAATCAAGTCATCATTTCCATCCAAGTGTTTTTGAAAATCTTCCAATGTCATCCAATCAAGCTGGAGGTCCACACCCAATTTAAGCATCTCCTGTTTTTCAGCTGAACATTGAAAACATTACAAAAAGGAATAAAATTAACAGTTACAATGCAATTTATTGCTACAAAAGCACAATAAGGAAGAACTTGAATTGCTTCTAATTTCCAGGCAATGTCACTGAAAGTAGTTCAAAGAGAAAATGATCTAGGTGTAATGGTTCAAAAGTCTCTGAAGATTCATGATCAATACAGACGAACTGTTGCTCAAACTAACAGAAGATTGGAGAGAGGCAAACGTCATTCCCTTGTTCAAAAAAGGGAATCGGGATAACCCTGGAAATTACAGGCCAGTTCATCTTACGTCAGTGGTGGGCAAATTATTGGAAAGGGCTCTGAGGGACAGGATTTATGATCACTTAGAAAGGCACAGTTTGATTCGTGATAGTCAGCATGGATTTGTGAGGGGTAGAACATGCCTCACAAACCTTACTGAATTCTTGGAAGGGGTGACCAAACACGTGGATGAAGGTAGAGCAGTGGATGTGGTATGCATGGATTTAAGTAAGGCATTTGATAAGGTTCCCCTGGTAGGCTCAAGCAGAAGGTAAGGAGGCATGGGATGGGGGAAATGTGGCAGATTGGATTCAGAATTGGCTGACCCTTAGAAGACAAAGGGTGGTAGTGGATGGAAAATATTCAACATGGTGCTCAGTTACAAGTGGTGTACCACAAGGATCCGTTCTGGGTTCTCTTCTATTTGTGATTGTTGTAAATGATTTGGATGAAGGCAATGGAAGGGTGGATTAGCAAGTTCGCGGACGATACGAAGGTGGGTCGCGTTGTGGACAGTGCGGAGGGCTGTTCCAGGTTACAAAGGGACATTGATAGGACGCAGAGCTGGGCTGAGAAATGGCAGATGGAGTTTAATACTGAAAAGTGTGGGGTGATTCATTTTGGGAGGACAAACTTGAAAGCAGAATACAGGGTTAACGGAAAGATTCTTGGCAGTGTGGAGGAGCAGAGGGATCTCGGGGCTCATGTTCACAGTTCCCTGAAAGCTGCCACCCAGGTGGATAGAGTTGTTAAGAAGGCGTATGGTGTGTTAGCTTTCATTAACAGCGGGATTGAGTTCAAGAGCCATGAAGTTATGCTCCAGCTATACAAAACCCTGGTTCGGCCACATCTGGAGTATTATGTCCAGTTCTGGTCGCCTCATTATCGGAAAGATGTGGAAGCGTTGGAAAAGGTGCAGAGGAGATTTACCAGGATGTTGCCTGGAATGGAGGGAAGGTCTTACGAGGAAAGGATGAGAGAGCTTGGGCTTTTCTCTTTAGAACAACAAAGGATGAGAGGCGACTTGATAGAGGTGTACAAAATGATCAGAGGTATAGATAGAGTGGACAGCCAGAGACTTTTTTCTAGGGTGGAGGTAGCTATTACGAGGGGGCATAGTTTTAAAGTGGAGTGGAGGTAGGTATAGGGGAGTCGTCAGAGGTAGGTTCTTTACTCAGAGTGGTTGAGGGATGGAATACATTGCCGGAGAGGGTAGTGGCGTCGGCCTCATGAGGGGCATTTAAACGGCTACTAGATAGGCATATGGATGATAGTATAAGGTAGGGGTGGAGGTTAGATAGACCTTAGGATTAGGGTAAAAGTTCGGCACAACATCGTGGGCCAAAAGGCCTGTACTGTGCTATACTGTTCTATGTTCTATGAAGGTACCATTCATCACCACAGACGTCTTGAATTAGAGCACGCCATAAGTACTGAGGCCAAGTTTGGTCCTCTTGCAGGGTTTAGAATACATATGCCCTTGTAAAACATTCAGATGAGGTGAGCTAGAAGAATGATTTCCACTTTAAAAGAAACTTAATTACTCATACAAACTTAAGAACTGAACCGGAGTAAGTGCAGTGTAGATCTGTAGTTTACAGAATGAAAGCAAGGACTGGATTGCATGATTATCGGTACATTACACCAGTTTCACAAAATGAAGTTGTTGAGGAAACATTAATTTAGTTTTGCAATAGGAGCAATATAATGAACAACTATTCTTTTCCAAAGAGTAATGAGTGTCTGGTAGGCACTGCCAACAGGTACACTGACCTGCTGCATATCCCGTCCTGGACACATTTTGAATTAGTTCTGTTCTCTCATATTGGACCCAGGTTGTCAACTTCTCCCAGAAGATACCGTGCCTACAAGGGCTGGAATAAGGTAGAGTGCAAGCTGGAGACATACAAAACAGAAGGACTACTCTCTCGGAGAAAGCAAGAACTGCAGACGATGGAGTCAGAGATAACAGTGGCGAGCTGGAGGAACACAGCAGGCCAGGCAGCATCAGAGGAACAGGAATGTTGACATTTCGGATCGGGACCCTTCTTCAGAAGTTTTCAGATCCTGACCCGAAACGTCAACTTTCCTGCTCTTCTGATGCTGCCTGGCCTGCTGTGCTCCTCCAGCTCTACACTGTTATCTAGGATTACCCCCTCGTCTAAGCTAAATTAGCCAGATTCTGCCAGCAGTGTGAAGACATCTTGAATCCTTTCAAATGTAAAATGAGACAGTTCAACTGTTTGGAACTTTGCCAAAACTGTACTCCTAGCAATGTCAGAAAACAGTGCCTGGAAAAGTTCAGATTTTACAGTACAGTAAGTCTCAACCAAATCATCTGAAGGATGAAGAGGTAATAGCAATCATTTCATACAATAGCATCTCAAGGTAACAAATAAAGTTTACTTCTGCAATGACCAGAAAAAGTCTGGTTTATACCTGGATTTTCCTCAGTCTGAGACATGGTATCAAGAACTTCTTGAGTCTCTTCAACTGCATTCTGCACTCTGCAATCATTCTCCTCTTTTGTACTTTTCTTATCTTTTTGCACCTGCTTCTTCCCTTTGGTTCGGTTCCCATCAAATTTAGAACCTTGGGAAACCGAGTCTTTATTCTCCCTATCCTCATCATCCGTTCCTTCAGTGAAGGGAATCAGGAACTTATCAAAAAGACCTTTCATCTCTCGGTTATCTATAAAAGCAAAAAGAAGTTAAAAACACAATAAGTACACAAATAAATTGGGTAGGGATAGGACTTAATGAACTTCATACCTATAGCTTAATCTGAACTGGTTTTTTCTAGCCTTGTCAGCATTCAAAGGAATCAATACATTTTTAAAAATACCTTTGCATGAAATCAGCTATCGAATGAAATCAGTAACTCAGTCTGTTCTGTGAAAATACCCCAAATATTAATCCTGCATTGAGTACCACTGCTGAAAAACTAAATTTGGCAATGTTGAATAATTTTCTAAATTTATTTCATTAAGATGACTTTTCCTGGTTGCAACCCAGTGTCTGAAAGAAGTATTTAAGTTGACAATTTATGAGTTGAAAGGTAAAAATAATTGTGATAAACAGTTATTGGGAGGGAAGGTTAAACAGTTAAATTCTTTGGCCGATGTGTAAAATTGACAGCTCCAGAGTGAGGATAGGCTTATACAACTATAATCAGAAAAGCAGAGCCTCAGTTACACACCTGCATGTTGTTCAATATCCACAGCACAGTTATGAATATCTGTGTCAGTGAACATTATTGCCAGTTACACCTATTAAAAGAAGCAAGAATCAACGATAAAGGCAGGCGTACACATTTTTGTTCAAATGTCCACCTATCACACTGTTGTAGCCTGCGCAGAATCAAAAATCAACTCGGCTGCATAATAAGAAATTAAAACACTGCACTTCGGTACCCTAAATTTCCAAAGCACCCTGGGATACACTGTGTTAAACAGTGGGCAGGGGAGAAGATGGAACAGAAAGTAAGCAAATGGTTTGCTTCCAGTTTCCTCTCAGCATATCAAGTACGACAATTAGTGGCTTCCTAGCAAAGACGATTAATAAGCACTGCAACTGGGCACTTCACACTCTAAGTCAAGAGTGTAGGCCAGAATGAATAGGAAATCAGATATGGTTACATACTTAAAAGTTCACTGGATCAGTCTTAATTTCTTATGGAAGATTCAAGAAATCAAAAATCATACACACCCTGCCAACGTCATCAAAATATGTTGCAACATTTAGCCATGATTCTGGTGGCAAGCCTTGTACCATCTCTTCATTTATGCAACAAAGCACTCCCCAAATGTTTTCCCCGATGATGCCTGAGAAAACGCACCAGGCAACAGAAATGGGCCATTTCAAAGTGACAAATGGGTGGGCTTCTGATTTCAGTGTCGGCTCTCCTGTAAGTTACAATGACATGACAACATCCTATTATAGTCGGAGCTGATGCCATCATTCCATAGTTCATATTTGTGTTGGTGGGGAGGCGTGATTTGCAGCAACAAATACTGGAAATCTGATTTCAACCAGTGCGGCTCCAAGCAAACTAGTTTACTTCTCGACAGATAAGAACTGCCAAAAGTAAGTCACCACAATATGCAGTGACAGGCCTTCCAGTTTTCAAGACATTCTCTAATCAACCTGATTAGTGATTTCGCTAAGCAAAATGATTTTTCCAACTTGTAAAGTACATATGCAAATGCTTTGAAAAAATGCCAGAGTACTCCCCAAAATGCAACTTCAATGTCATACCTGAATAATTGTACTGCCTGTCTTTAATCTGTGCAAAGCTACCGCATAATATACACTCACTTCTGCTAAATGGCCACTTTAATAAACAAGTTCACCCTGTTTAACTTGGAGTATTCATGACCAGTGACCAACCTACAAAGAAAGAGTGGGAAACTACCAAGAAGAGTTGTTTTTAAAAAGAAATCAACAAACTTGCCAGCCATCTCAGGAGCATACAAGTTTACGTGATGCTCATCTGCTCTTAACATTCTGCTATTCAATAGCAAATAATAAATTAATGAATTAGTGCATACTCAGCTGCATATTGTTATGTGTCTATCAAGCATAAGGCACTATAAGATAGTTCAATACCTTGTTCAGTTGAGTAGCAGAAAGGTTTAAAGGATTGAGACACAAAAACACCAAATTAAATTCACACAAGTTAGCTTTCTGTCCACCATAGTGACTACATTTAAGAGATCACAACTCAATCAGCTATTACCATTATTGCATCTTACTGCACTAAAAAGGGAAGCTGGTGTGCATTTCTTGGATATGATATAGCGACCATAGTTACTCTGAGAAATCTTTCTGCAACTGAGTTAGATATCACAGTATTAGTGCTCTGATGATTCAAACTTGAAACTTGCAGCTGGTCTTTCTAGCAAATTTTTGACCAAATTCTTCTAGCCATTTCAATTTTCCTAAGGGTTCTGCAAATTTCAACTTGAAAATTTTCAATTCTCTGGCACTCATCATGTTCAGAATGACGATGAGCTTTCCAATAATCGGTCTGGATTCAATTTTCTAAGCAAAGAACAAAGAAGAGCAAAGGCAAAATATCCAGGAAGTGAGGCACCTTGGACAGGGATCATAATTCACTCGTTAATATTCCTCCTCCAACAGTCCGTAGAATGACAAGGTCATTCCAGGGCCTGCCAATGTATCAGGACACGGAGAGATAGCACTTCACAAGAGCAATTCGCCAAGTATTCTTCGAGGACAACCAAAGTCACAGATTTACACCCCATGGGGTGTCAGTAATGGAGATGAAGTCACCACATGCCTCAGCTTACTTTTTTTGATTCTGGATCATTCCAACCACGCAGATCTCTCATGTCAACACCAAAGTAGAACCTTGATGCATTTATTAACTGGAAACAAAAAAAGAGTCCATTCATTTAACATGCAGATTATCTGCACTGAGATGCATCAGACATTCTGTGAATCTGCCAGATCAAGATGTGATAGCATTTTGTAGGTGTCTAAGTTTTGAGTGCAAAGTTGAGGTTTAATGGATATGCACTTGAGTCTCTTCAGTATATAACTGTGACTTCGATAGTCATGTGTTAGAGACTCTACTAGAGAGTTAGAACTAGTGTAGCTCAGAGCCATGAGTCCTGTTGTTATATCATGTACACAATATACTGTTTAAGAGAAACATGTATGAAGAGAAGAAAAACCCAAACCAAAACAAGCTTCCAGTTGAGTTGGAGGGATGCAGCCGTATTCAGAATTCATACCAAGCATGGCAAAGAAAAGCATGACAAGATAAGCAACTCACTCAGTGATGTGCATAGATTGACCCCTGCAGCACAGCTATCACGAAGACTATATAAAAAAAAAACTTACAATACAAACTTCAATTAAAAACAAACTTCAGAATCTGATGAAAGATCAATCTGAAATGTTAACTATTTATCAATAAAGATAGAGTATTTCTAGCATTTTCTGTTTTAATTTTAAATTTCCAGCAGCTGCAGTATTTTGTTTTTGTCCTACTGGGTTACCCTGGTACTTGACGTTTCCCAGCAACACACATCATATAGACTGCACCTCGTCCCTATCATCAGAGCTGTGGAACTATCAAAGCGTATGTCATAAGATATAGGGAATAACAATTGAGACGCAAAAGTGGCAAACTCATCTTAATAAAAAAAAAAGTCCACAAAACAGACTGAGAAAGTTTGTTGTTAATTTGGTTTTAAACAAAGAAAAAAAATGGCTTAGTAGGAACAGCCCCACAAAACAATTTGGGATTCACTTTTCCTCGAAGCCTGTTTGCACATAAGATTGGCCAGTTTTGGAGGTTACTTCTGCTCCTTGCATATAACAATAATAATTAACATTTATAATAGCAAATTAAGAGACCGAATCAACATTTTATAACACTAAACACCATGCTGAAAGAAATGATATTTGACAGCTTTGATGAAGGGGCTAAAAAGTGACAAGGGGATTTCAATGTTAGTAAGGGTTAGGTAATATATTTTAATTTAAAAATATATCAGTAACTAAGCTCCAAATGGACATATGCTTGATGCTTTGAAAGGCCAGAGATTTGGCATTACAGGTTTTCAATGTAATTTTAGACAACACACCAGATTGGTAGGCTATAAACAAAAACTAATAGACTCCTACAGTTTCTCTCAAGATGTATAGACTACATAAGCCAAGATTTAATGATGAGCCTATCAGAATGTTTTTTGTTTAATACAAGCTTTTTGGTGCACATCTGTGAAATCCATCATGGTTTCCACACCTATTACCCTATTTTCTTCTATGACCATTTATTCTATATTCATTTAATCAGAAAAAAGCCAACATTTACAATATTTTCACTTAGCTTGCCAATAAATTCTACTTCCATTACTACTAATAACTAGTTCTAACATTTGTGTGACAAGTGAAAATGTTTACATCTGAATCTACCTCATTTAAATGTAAAACACCTTTCAATAAGCAACAGCATGAAGATTTCCATTAAAATGTTAGTATAAATATCTAAAATTGTAAGTTTTAAAACTTAAGATACTTGACACAGAAACTGTCAGAATACATAATAAAATGACATGATGTACAGCAACATTCTTTTTTCATTAGTTCACAAGGGTGTGGGTGTTGTTTATTGCCCATTCCCAATTGCACAGTAGGCAGTTAAGAGTCAAACACATTGCAGTGGGTCTGGAATCACAAGTAGAACAGATCTGGTAAAAGGCATATTTCCTTCCGTAAAAGGTTATTAGTCAACCGGATGGGTTTTTACAACAATCAACAGTGGCCAATAAATTAGGCCAGCTACCATGATGGGATTCAAATCCATGGCCCCAGAACATTAGCCTAGATTTCTGGAATGCTAGTCCAGTTACATTACCGCTTACTCCATTGCCTCCCCAGTACACGTGAAGATCGCTGGTACAACTTCTACTAGTACTTACGATGATTCACACTTTGTTCCTTTCGCCCTTTGTCAATATCCATTTTTTTATCAGAAATTTCTTTGGGTGCTTCACCTTTCTTTCCCAACTGCTCTCGGGAAACAAACTAAAACAAAAAACGAGAATTATAGCCAAGTACCTTAATGTTTAAAAAGAAAATACAAAAAGCTGAAACTATATATAAAATGAGGAATTAAGTATTGCTTCAAGTAGGCATTTTGTTAAAGCTTTTTGTCTTCCACTCATCAGAGCAATTCACAAGAATACTAATTCAATTAACTAGAAAATGGCCATTATCTATTTTGCTGATTTGAAACCAATGCAGTACGTATATATGTTGCCTGCAAAAATAAAACAGGGCTGTGTGTTAAATGCAACTTCTAATACATGCAGGTGCACTACACGGAGTCCTAATGACAACCCCGAGTTGCTGGTTCATTTCTCAGGGGAATGTCCTGACCAGAGTCAGCCCTGCCTGATTTAAAACTCAAACAAAAACTGGTGGTTAATTATCAAACCATTCACTGGTGCACTTTCCAATTCTCCCTTGAACTGGTTTTCTTCTGAAATTCTGAAGAGTGCAAGATGTAAAGCTTTGACAAAAAAGCCTTTAAACAATTCTTTGTCCAACAAACTAATGAAAACAAGAAATGTCTCATTAAGAAAGAAACTGGATTTTACCTCTGGACTTCGGTAAGCCGGATGCTTGGCGCAAGTTGTAAATTTTACAGTATTAAAAAGTGATACATATACAAACTGAATATCTCCATTTCAAATTTGTCATATTGCCTTTATCACTTTCTGGAATGTATTACTGTGCTCCAATCTTTGCATGCTGCTTTAATGTGCTAAAAACTGAAGTTAACAGATGGCAGGCATGTATCATAAATGGAAAAAAAAATTGCTTTGAAACTAATTCCATCTATGGTCTGCAATCACTTTTGCGGATGTGGCTAAAAGTTCATTTCTATTAATTTCAACTCAAACTTCGAAACAAATCACAGGAACATAGGCCTTTTGGTCCATTAAGTCTACCCATGCATACTAGTCCCAAACAGTAATGGTAGTAATGTAATACATTGCTTCATAGTTCAAAATGGATACCAGTCTGCAATATTTTATGGCCCAAAACTGGGTTGATAGTTTCCCTAAGACAAAGTAAGATGCTACCTCAATGGCACCCAATGACGTGTGGGAAACACAGTCTGGTTCATCTCTTCAGTATGACCAGACAGACAGACATATGGAGGCATTAAATAACATTTTTTTTGAAAAGTGTGAACAACAGCAACAGAGAATCAGCAGGACAAAATGGACACTACAAAAACCATAGGCATGGAAACATTCCAGCAGTAGCACTGAAGAAATGCACTTTAGAACTTGTTGTACCCCCCGAGCCAAGCTGTTACAGTACAGCTGCAACACTGGTAAAGAGGTGACAATGTGGAAAACTGCTCAGGTATCTGCTGTGCACAATTAGTAGGATAAGTCCAATCCAGCCAGTTACCATCCGACCAATCTATTCTCAATCAGTCAAGTGATGGAAGGTGTTTGAAGCAGCACTTGCTTAACAGTACTGCTCACTGACAACTAGTTTGGGTTCCACCAGGACGACTCAGCTCCTGACCTCGTTATAGCCTTGGTTCAAACATGGACGGACAAAAGAGCCGAATTCCAGACAAGAAAGTGACTGTCCTTGACATAAGGGCTCCATCTGACACAGTTTGGCATTAAGGAGCCCTAGCATAACTAGAGTCAAAGGGAATCAAGGGGAAGCTCTCTGCTGGTTGGTTCATATCTGGCACAAAGAACATGGAACTCAATCATCTAAGGTCCAGCACATCTCTGCAGGCAGGAATTCCTCAGGGTAGACATTTTCTCATCAGCCTGTTCAGTGATGTTATTTCTGGTGGGACTGGAACCCAGGTTTTCTTGCTGAGGTAGGGACACTACCACACCAGCACAAGGACCTTTATTTCCTCAGGGTAGTGTCCTATGTCTAACCATCTTCAGCCGCTTCAATGACCATCAAAGGTCATAAGTTGGACTGTTCACTAGATCATTGCACAATGCTCAGCACCATTTAGAACTCCTCAGATACTGAAGCAGCCCATGTCTGGTAAAAGCTGGACAATATCCAGGTTAGAGCTGGGAAGTGGCAATTAACACTTGTAGACTCAGACATACAGCACAGAAACAGACCCTTCAGTCCAATTCATCCATGCTGACCAAGTTTCCCAAACTAAACTAGCCCCATTTGCCAGCATTTAGCCCATATCCCTCTAAACCTTTCCTATTCATTAACTTATCCAAACGTTGTTTTAAATGATGTAACTGTACCTGCATCCACCATTTCCTTTGGCAGTTCATTCCACATACGAACTACTCTGAAAATGTTGCCCCTCAGGTCCCTTTTAAATCTTTCTCCTCTCACCTTAAAATTATGCCATCTAATTTTGAATTCCCTATCCTACGGAAAAGATTTTGCCATTCACCTTATCTATACCCATCATGATTTTATAAACTTCTATAAGGTCACTCCTCAACTTCCTACACCTATCCAGCCTCTCAACTCTAACCCTCCAGTCCTGGTAACATCCTTGGAAATCTTTTCTACTCCCTTTCCAATTTAATAATATCCTTCCTATAGCTGGGTGATCTGAACTGTACACAGTACTCCAAAAGCAGCCTCACCAACATCCTGTACAGGATTGGTGCTGGGTCCGCTGTTTGCTGTTTATATAAACAATTTGATTTTGATTTTGATTTTGATTTTTTTTTATTGCCACGTGCACTCAAGTACAGAAACACAGGAGTACAGTGAGAAGTGCACAAAGTTGCCACCCTCTGGCACCATTTTAGTATGCAAAAGACCTGATTACAAACAGAAGCAGAAATAAAAGGAACAGCCAAAAAAGGAAACATCCAGAACACTTCCCCGCCTTTGCCATGAATCCTTGCCGCCAGAAAAACAGTCATAGTCCATTCCTCAGTCTGTAAATACTTGGCTGCCTCACCACCACATGCCCCTGCCGCCATAGCCGGAATGCCACTGCATTTACGTAGCAAGGAGCCGAGCTGCCACTGCTGGAACCGTGTTGCCATTCTTCAGCGTTATCTTGCCTCCTCCAATGATTTGCAGGAGGATTTAGGGGGCATAGTTAAGTTTGTGAATGACACCAAAACTGGTGATATAGTCGACAGTGAAGAAGGTTAAGATTACAAAGGGATCTTGATAAATTAGGCCAAAGGGCGGCAGATGGAGCTTAATTTGGATGAATGAGAGGTACTGCATTTTGCTAAGACACAGTTAATGTTAGGGTCCTGGGAAGAGTTGTTGAACAGAGAGACGTAGGGATTCAGGTACATAGTCCCTTGAAAGTTGCGTCACAGGTAAACAGGGTGGTTAAGGTGGCATTTAGCACACACTCCTTCATTGCTCAGACCTTTTGAGTATAGGAGTTGGGGCATCACATTGCACTTGTACAGGATGTTGGAGAGGCTACTTCTGGAGTAAAAACCGAAAGAACAGCGAAGCTGTAAATCAGGAATGAAAACAGAAGTTGCTGGAAAAGCTCAACAGGTCTGGCAGCATCTGTGAAGAAAAAAAAAAAAATCACAGTTAACGTTTCGGGTCCGATGACCCTTCCTCAGAAGAGTTGAGGAAGGGTCAGAATCCAAAATGTTAACTGATTTGTTTCTTCACAGATGCTGCCAGACCTGCTGAGCTTTTCCAGCAACCTCTGTTTTCGTTGCCACTTTTGGAAGGCTGTGTACAGTTCTCGTCGCCCCGCTATAATTTGGAGAGGGTTAAGAAATGATTTACAAGGATGTTACTAGGACTGGAGGGTTTGAGTTATAAGGAGAAGCTGGATTGGCTGGAACTTTTGCCACTGGAGCATATGAGGTTGAGGGGTGACCTTGTGGAGGTTTATAAATTCATGAGGGGTATAGACAAGCAGCCGTGGCACGGTGAAGAGGACTTGTGCCTAGCCACCAGGCCCTTGACGAAGCACTTAAGGACTATAAAGTTGAACATTTTTCTTTATTTTTCTGCCTTTATACTCCATGTTTTGGTTTATTTTTCTGCGTTTTAAGATGGCACGGGAAGAGTGTCCACACTACTCAATACTTTTCACTGCATTTTGTAACAAAATACACATCAAATCAAGATAAGTGACTAGCAAAGGTCTGTTTCCCAGGTTGGGAGCTCAAAACTAGAGAACATATTTTTAAGGTGAGAGGAGAAAGATTTATAAGAGACCTGAGGGGCAACTTTTTCACAGAGGGTGGTTTGTATGTGGAATACTGCCAAAGGAAGGGGTAGATGCACGTACAATTACAACATTTAAATGTCATTTTGACAGCTTCATGAATAGAAAGGGTCTAGAGGGATATGGGCCAAATGCAGGGAGGTGGGAACATGGTCAGCTTGGACTTGTTGGGCTGAAGGGTCTGTTCCCATGTTGTGTGACTCTGACTCAATAACATGACATCCCAACTCTTATACCCAATGGTCTGAGCAACCAACGCACACTTGAGCCACAGAAGTGCCGTGCGATGACCGTCCACAACAAGACAATCTAATCGTCGCCCCTTCAAAAGTATCACCAGCAGTAATTAATTCTCCATTATCAATATTATGGCGGTTACAATTGACCAGAAACTGAACTGGACTAGCCATCTAGATACTGTGGCTAAAACAGCAGGTCAGAGGCTGGGAATTCTGCAGCAAGTAACCCAGCTCCTGACTCCCCAAAGCCTATAGAACATATACAAGGCACAAGTTGGGCATGCTATGAAATACTCCCCACTTGCCTCGATGAGTGCAGCTCCAATAAAAGTCAAGAAGCTTGAAATTACACAGGACAAAGCAGCCTGCTTGAATAGCATCGCATCCACAACATTCACTTTGTCCACGTTCATGGTCAGTAACAGGGTGCACCATTTACAAAATGAGTGCAGAAATTCATCATGGCTTCACAGGTAGTATCTTTCAATGCCACCATCACTACCATCTAGGACTGGGCAGCAGATAATTGGGAACACCACCACCTACAAAATTCCACTCAAAACAATTCACTAAGTTCACTGAGAATTCAAAACCCTATGCTTACTTGGCTTGAAACTTTAATTGCTTCCAACTTCTCCTCAGTGGTTGTTGCAGAGTAGTTTGATTTGTCAGTCTTCATATTTTCTCGATTAACTTCAGAATCCAATCCCAATTTGTCAAAGAGACTAGGCTCAGCAAATTGGGGTGGCTGTCCCGAAGTTGTTACACTAGATTCAGAACCTTGAGTCACCTTCTCAGTACCACACCGAGGAGAACTGTCAGTCACATTATACATTTTGTTCAGTTTTATCATTGCATTTTTCACACAATCTTGTTTAGGAGTAGTACTGTTTTCATTATCTATTGACTTTCTGCCTTTGGCGTCCATTTGAAACTTTGGAACCTTAATTTCAGTTCCATCTGATTTCACAGATGAAACAGACTCCTTTCGCTTCTCTTGAAACTTATGTTTTTTACTATGACTGCTATTCTCCTTATTTATAATTTTCTTCTCCGAACAATCATCTTTAAGATTCTTTCTCTGCTTCTGGAATTTCATTTCTTGCTTGGAATTGTCTACTTTGTCCTTCTTCTTCTTCTTTTTCTTTATCTTAAGCTCCAGGTCATCCTCATCTGAGCTATCCAGAGATCTTTTTGGTGTTGTAATCGTGTCTTGTGTAGTTAGTCCCCTAGTTTTCTCAAATGTTGGATCATTGGGATCCACAGTTTTCTGCTCTTTGCTTTCACCAGATTCAATTAGCAAGTCAACCTGCGTGACTGGCTCCAGTAAAGACTTCTGTGCATCATGTTTTTTTTTCCATTTCTTAGATTCAGTTGAATTCATTTTCTTTACCTTCCCATCTTCAGGGGTCTCTCTCACATTATCTAAAAAGTTGTCTCTCAGTTCTTCATTATTTGACCTGCTGGATTTAGCTTTTTTATCTATTTTAGGGCTGTCATGCTTCGTGTCCAGTTCAGTTTTAGATTTTTTCTTTTTTTTAGTCTTTTGTGGGCAAGTTTCTTTCACGCCTCCATAATCATCTGCAGACTCATCTTCAAAAATATCTTTGTCTAATGTAAGCTTCTGAAAAAACAAAAAAGGCACTGATCAGATGAGACACAAAAAGTATTAAATGATAAGATCAACAAATTGCTGTTTCATTCAAGCCTAAAAAAAACAGGCAGTTAATTATCTTTATTTCAGTATCCTTTATATTTTTCTTTTGTTTTCCTTGTATTATTAGCTTTCAAATTCAGTAGGTAATCCAACATGAGAAGAGTTTTAGGACACAGTCAAAAAAGCTGGACATTACAGATCAATGATTTTTCGCAAGTTTAAATTGGATCAATCCAGTTTCATTCTTTTTGATAGGAAGTCATGTCAATTTTGTTACAAATTATTTAGAACATGGGTCGCACTGTAAACTGAAGAAATTTGAGGAAAAAAATAATGAGATACATATCATGCAAGTCTGTCACATCCGCACTGTGTGTAATGTAAAAAGCTAAAACATAGTCAACTGGGATATACAGAGAGCACACTCAGTGAGAAGACCGAAAGTTCAAACTTATCCACTGAACCATGAAATCTAGGCCAATACCTCAATGTGTATATACACATAGCATACACGATACATTAAATGGAAGTCTCATCTAATTGAATGTGCATGGAAGATCTCACTCCTATTCAAGAAGCAGCAGTGCTCCTCTACGTCATGGATTGTACACCATTAAAAATTAATCTGGCCAATCGTGGCTCATCACATCACCAACTGTGATATTTGTCTAGAAATCAGTAATCACACTTCAAAAGCAAACAAAGAATACATGAAAATTCTGTATAAATAAAATCACATCAAAATGTCATACAGCAAAAATGTCACCCGCAGTTTAATAAATTTAACAATACTGTAGATATGAAAGGAAGAAAAGTTATTTAGGAGAACAGAAAACACTGGAAAAATTCAGCAAATAGGTTGAGCGGGGGAGGGGGAGGGGGAGAAAAGAACAAAAGGCTGTGATAGGATGAATGGCAGAAGACTTTAAATGACAAACGGTTTCATGGTACAGCGCCAAAGGGAGTGGCAATCGGACAAGTATCAAAAATATGTTTAGGGGACATGTAATGAGAAGGACAGTAACTGTTCAAATGCAAAATAAGAAATTAGGAATCAAAAGACAAAAAAGGAAACAAGAGGAAGCAGAGGTCCTGAATTAAAATTGGCAACTCAGAGTCTAAAAGACTGAGAACTGCTCAGTTGAAATAAAAGGAAATAGCAAGAACTGCAGATGCTGGAGTCAGAGACATCACAGTGTGGAGCTGGAGGAACACACAGAAACGTCAACTTTCCTGGTCCTCTGATGCTGCCTGACCTGCTATATTCCCCCAGCTCCACACTGTGCTGTTAGTTGAAATAAAAAAAAGGTGCTGTTTCTCAACCTTGTACTGAGCTTCACTGGAAGACTGCAGTAGGTCAAGCAGAATGTCAGTAAATTGGGGAACTGAAATGACATGTTACTGGAAGCTTGGGATCAGTCTTGCAAGGCATCTTAACTCAGTTTGCAAAATGATCACCCCATCTGCATTTCGTCTCTCAAACGTAAGTTGCAAATGCAATTATGTCAGCTGGATCAGTATTTAGGGACCTGGTAGACCAGAAGGGAGATAAATGGGAAGGTCCTACATCTCCTGCACTTTGTTGGTAAGTTTGCAAAGGGAAGGAAATATTGAAAAGGTGACTGATGAGTGATCTTGCATTGGGAATAGTTCCTTCAGAATGCTGATAAGAAAGAGAAAGATGTACTTGGTAGCAGCAATGGATGATTCTCTCAATGAAGTAGAAACAATTCAGCACCGTTCTGCAGGTGTTTGCTACACATCTTAAGTGTAAGCAGCAAGGCAATGGATGACTTTCTTACAAACTAGAAGGTCAGACAATGCAATGTTCAATAAGCAATCTTCCTTTTGCATCGAATACTGAGGAGTTCAACTGTTACCCATGAAGTAGGACCAGAGTCAATCTATCACATCTTTGGTGGTTCAGCTGTGCAGCATGAGAGAAAGGTCAGAAAAGTAATTATAAATCAGTGATTTAATATTTAAAAGGGAACAGACAGGCAAACATGGCTGTAGACAATTCTAAGATGTTACATTGCCTCCTTGATGTCAGGGCCAAAGAAATCAGCAAATGGGCGATGGGGTGGGGCACATCCAGAACTCTCAGTCCATTACAGTACCAACAGCGTAAGGACAAAAAAGGAATGAAGTCCTGCAGGAAGATTATAAAAGGAGCTAAGAAAGGAATTAAAAGGATGGAGCTCAAAAAGCAGATCATCTATGCATTATTCCCACTGCCAATCGGTACAGAAGTAGATGAGTGCATGGTGTAGAAATGTAAGGGTTGTGTGTTCTGACAATCCCTTGAGCAATATCACTAGGAGCTTACTGCTCCTGGTGCAGGGACACTCAGAGCAACAAGGTCAGGGGGAGGTGTCAAACAAGTACAGTCCAAAGGTTCTTAGCGACAAAACAGGCAAAGGAAGGCTATACATCACTACCGTAATACACAATGAGGCTAGAAAAAAAAAAGTAGTGTGGCTCTGATAATAATGATAAAATCAGTACAAGCGAGCAATGATGTTAGTTTAGAGGATCAAAACAAAACTGGCTTTATTTTCAGAGACAGAGGGTAGTGGTGGAGGAGGGTTTTTTTGGGACTGGAGGCCTGTGACCAGCAGTGCTCCTCGGGTCCACTTTTGTTTATATAAATAAATAATTTGAATGAGAATATGGGAGGCATGGTTAGTAAGTTTGCAGGTGACACCAAAATTGGTGCTTTAGCGGGAGAATGAAGATAGTTATCTAAGATTACAAAGGGATCTTGATCAATCGGATCAATGGGCTGAGGATTGGCAGATGGAGTTTAATTGCTTAAATGCGACGTATTGCATTTTAGAGTCATCCAGCACCGAAAGAGACCCTTCAGTCCCAAACTAAACTAGTCCCACCTGCCTGCACTTGGCCCATATCCCTTCAAACATCCCTTTTTCATGTACTTACCTAAATGTCTTTTAATATCTGTACCTGCATTCACCATTTCCTTTGCAAGTTCATACCACACATGTACCACTCTGTATTAAAAAAAAATGCCCCTTACGTCACCTCATATTTATCCAAATTAAACTTTTCATTCAAAGCTAGGGGGCATATTTTTAAAGCGAGAGGAAAAAAAGTTATGAGAGACATGAGGGGCAACTTCTTTTTAAACACAATGGTTCATGAACTGCCAGAGAAAGTAGTGAATGCAGGTACAGTTAACAGTTGTCATGTCTCCTTTAATAACTTACATACATAGACACCCACATCTCTCCTCCCACACTGGTCTAGTGGCTAGTGCCCTTTGCTTAATAAGACTATGTTCCTTCCATCCAAAATACATTCCCTCACATTTTTCCACACTAAACTTCAGCAACCTGACCACTACAACTTGTCAACATCCTTTTGAAGTTGCACATGATCCTTCCCCTAGGTTCACAATGCTTCCAAGTTTTGAATCAGCTCCAAATGTGGAAATGGTTCCTCGTATGCATATGTCCGTGTACGTCAAGAAAAGCAAGGGTCCCAACACCAATCCCGAGGGATCACCTCATCAGACCTCCATCCACCTGATAAACGTTTATGAACTATCCTATCACTCAGCCAATTTTGCATCCTTACTAATGCTTTCTCTTTCATTGCATCAGCTGAAACTTTGCTCACTGATCTGTTATGTGGCACTGTATCAAAATGTATCATTTTGAGCAACAAACTGCCAATTCTCTGCCTAGCTCCATAAAGTCTAACTACAGAATTACATCCCTCTTTTCTCCCCTCAGTGTCGTTAGTACCAATATGAACTATGACTTCTGGCTTACCTTCCCTCCACAGGGTGCTGTGCAGTCAGTGACATCCTTGAACCTCATACCAGGGTGGGAACACACTTCCTTGGATTCATATCTGTGGTCACAGGAAACACTTGACTATTCTCCTTGTTAGCTAATCTCCCATCACCATTGCCCTTCCAGTCAACATGTATTACTGCGTAGCTATGCCACTTATTGACTACCCAGATTAAGGGTATTGCTGATTTGGCCAACATTTATTGCCCATTCCCAATTGTCCTCATGACTGTGGTGTGAACTGTCTTCTTGAACACCTACAGTGCATGTGGTGTAGGATACTCACCATGCTGTTAAGGAGATAATTAAAGAATTTTAACCCAGCTACAATGAGGAAACAGTGATATATTTCTAAGTTAAAATGGTGAGTAGCTTGGGAAAAGTTGCAGGTTGTAAAGTTCCCATGTATCTGCTGCTCTTTCTAGGAAAGGGTCATAAGTTTAGAAAGTAATGTCTAAAGAGCTTTGGTGAGTTACTGTATATCATTTACAAAACATAATGCAATGCTGCTGGGTGGGGAGTGCGTGAATGACCAAATTGATAGATGGAGTGCCCATTAAGTGAGCTACTCTGTCCTGAATGCTATCAAGAAACTGCACTCACGCAGGCAGGTGGAAATATTCCTTCACAATTTTTTTTAAAATTCACTGCTGGGCAATAGATTTTTTTCATTAAGTACTGCACACAAAGCTACTTAATAAACAAAAGGCCCATGGTGATGTGGATAATATACTATTATGGATAAAGGATTGGCTGATTGACAGAACACAGGAACAGGAGAAGCCATTCAGTCCCTCAAGCCTTTTCTGCCATTCAATGAGATCTTGGCTGATCTGTGGCCTAACTCCATATATCTGCCCTTGGTCTATATCCATTAATACTTTTGCTTCACAAAAATTTTAAATCGATCTCAAATTTAAAATTAACTTATTTTGCATCCTGTGCCATTTGTCAGAGATTCCAAACATCTACCACCCTCTTTGTAGTGCCTCCTAATATTGCTCCTGGACGGTCCACCCCTAATTTTTAATATTAATGGTCCCTAGTTCTATAAACTCTAACCAATGGAAATGGTTTATCTTTATCTACCCTGTCTTTTCCTGTTAATATTTTGCAGACTTCCATCAGATGACCCTTAACCTTCTA